ATTTCTCAGTACCTAATAAACAACAACTACCAAACACCCCTAGAAGCACTGGTGTTGTAGCTCAAGTGGTAGAGTGGTAGCCTTCAGCATAATGAAATTCAGGAACTGTTCTCACACCTTAAGTTCAAGCCCCAGGAATGTGAAACAACAACAACAACAACAAATGAGCAAATGTAAACCAAAAACCCAATGTGAGCAAGTTTCATTGATAAACACACCACACACAAACACACACACACAAACTTTTTAAAACCATATTCACCTCCTATACCATGTCTGCTTACCCTCCCTGCTCCAAATGCTACCTACATCCATAGGAGAATTTATTCTATCTTTCTGTTGCTTTTGCATTCTTAAAAAATTATTGTGAAAATGATATATATACTTATGTATGTGTGCATACATACATATATACCTATATATACACAGGTGAGTATATATATGTATATATACACATATATGTATACATACACATTTGTATATATACATATATACTTATGGGTATATATACATATAGATGTATGTCAAAGTTCCATAAGCCAGGTACTGATTTCATTACTTGATTGATTACTCGATTGATTTCATTGATTTCATTACTTATTGAACAATATGCATTTTTGCACAATTCCACCCACTTTTTAAAAGTAGCATTTATTTCCATATATCACAGTAAAACATACTAATATTAGGTATTGATCTCACTGTCTGAGTGCTGTCCCTGGCCATTTTATCTTAAGGATTTATCACTTGAGCCATCTATCAATTTCTACTTCTGGATTTTTAGGTGATTAATTGTAGATAAGAGTTTCATTGACCTTTCTAAAAGGGCTAGATGAAATCTAAATCCTCAGGTCTCAGGTTTACCAACATGAGACACTTGTGTCCAGTACCTTTAAATATTATTATATGCACTATGTTATTTGTGGTATGATTTTTCTTTTCATCATTCACATGGCTTGATCTCTGGGCCTGGGCTCTGTCCCTCAGCTCTTCAGTTCAAGGCTACTGCTCTACTACTGGACCCACTGCACCACTTCCAGCTTCTGTTTATGTGGTGCTGAGCAACCTAACCCAGGGCCTCATGCATACAAGGCAAGCACTCTCCACTGAGCCACCTAAGTGTTCACATTTACAATTCTTAAGATGAGGAGTGTTACAGATTTCAAGGTGGGGGCATTTTCTGTGTTTTGGGATGTGGACTGTCCTCATACACCGTAGTGACTGAACATCCTGCCTTAAAAATTTCAAGTTTTCTATTTCATATTATTGCATTAGAATATAATCTGAATTTTAAAAAGAACATTGTAACTGGGCTATCATGTCTAATAGCTGTAATCTTAGGTATTCAGAAGGCTGAGATCTGAGGAAAGTTAGTATTATCCTCACCTTTACTCCTCAGCTCCACCCAGACCTGAGCTCCTCCCAGAGCTAGAGTTCCCTCCCTACAGCTGGCCACTCCCTCTCTCAGCTCAGACTCACCTGAGTATGTACTTAACTCACTTCCTGCCCCCCAGATCCTGTTGCAACCTGAAGAGGGACAAACGCTTGTGCTCCCTGTCCTATGAAATATGGTCCTTCTAATAAACCTTATAATAGTCTTTCTCCTGTGCCTGCTTGTGGTCCCCTGGGATGGACATGAAGGAATCCTACAAGGATCACAGATTGCAGCCAGGGGGATCTGAAAGTCTGAGAGACTTATCTCCAATACACTACCAAAGGAGTGGGAAGTGCAAATGTGGCTTAAGTGGTAGAACATTATCATTGAACCAAATAATTTCAAGGTCAGTTTCCTGACCTTGAGTTCAAGAATCAGTACAGGCTGACACATATCAAGGGCATTGTATTGTATTCAAATTATATTTTAACAAATGTTTTTGGTGTACATGCATAGGAAA